TTTGTACAATGAAAATTTGAGGACGAATTTTCTTAAGGGGGAGAGATTTGTAACATCCCAAACTACGGGTTAGTGACTTTATTGTAAAGTTTCAGAATTTGGTGATTTAAATAGGAATATTTCAGTTGGATTAAGTGGTGAATATGAAAGAATCCAAAGGATAGTATGGTAATTTAGCTTAAAGATATTGTCATCTCTCTATTTAGAGAGATACACGTGGAAGAGGAGATAATTCTCCATAGTTATCTTCTCCTCTTTGTTCTTCATACGTGAGGCTTGAAGCATGAGGTGAGTTTTCTGATTTGTTGGTTATTTGTTAAATTAAAGGTTAGGTTTTGATCATTAGAAGATAACTAAGCTAAAGGAAAGCTTAAGTTGTCTTATAATCAAAAGATGAAGAAGTTATAAGAAATTAAAGAAAACGGGTTTTTATATGAAATTATGGAAAAGAGTTGATAAGTTGAATTTGAAGTTAAATTTGACTTGTCATCATGCTAATTAAGGAATATGAAGTGTTAGAATTGTATTTAGAACATATTGAAATTTGAGTATGATTCTTGATTTACATATGAGGGATAGGATTTTGAGGTTATGGGTGGTTTTCATGGATATAAATTGGTTTAAGTAATGGTGGTTAGGTTTAATGACATGGTAGGGGTTTAAAATAGAAGAATTGAATGAAGAATTGATGATTTTTGGGCTTAAAATATAATTTTTGGGTAGAGGGAACCGATACCCTATGAATGGGTATCGATTCCCCCCTCTTGAACGAAAAATTCCAGTATGTTCAGGGGGTATCGATATCCCCTGTATCGATTCCCCCTAAATGAAAAATAAATTTTGGTTCTTTGATTTGATTTATGTTGTTAACATTAAGTTAAAGGTTTAGGCTTCTGATAGTTGTTTTGAAATGTTATATTTATGTAGATATTGAGTCTAAACAAGTTCCGAAATAATCAAAGGATTAGGATCGAATCAAAGCAAATAAGAGCATAAAACATAAGATATATGATATGATATACATGATTATATGCATATGTGATATATGTTATGAGACATGACCAATGTGAAATGAGATAAGCTATGTGATATGATATGAAATACATGGTTACACATACATGTGGTATGTGACAGAAAAGAAAGAACAAGTGATGAGAAATTTATTCATCGTAAATGCCTATAGTATATGATACGAGAGCTATAGGTATAGTTGGCATGCCAAGAGTCGAGGGTATTGTTGTCCTTCGGGACGTAGTCCTTCGGGACGTAATGGTCCTACGAGACATATATAGCAGTCCTTCGGGACGAATACTGAACAAATGATCGGTGCTCATGAGGGAATTTATACGAATTGTGGTGACAACATTAGTGCACAACCTCAATGTACTCACATACCTTTGTTCTCAACAACAATATACATGGGCAATTGAAATATAAATTAAAGTAAAAGTGATGCAAAAAGGTAAGTTTCATATGTGCATGACTTAGTTATATATGTCATATGAAATATATACATGCATATTGAAATATCATGATCAAATGGTAAGAATGCATATTCATGAATCTACTGTTACATGTTTATTTATTGCCTCACTAAGTCTATGACTTAGCGTGTAAGTGATTTACACGTAGGTACCAAGAAACGAGAAGAGCAAGAATAGAAGTAACAAGGACAATATTATTACTAGAAGATCAAATCAGAAGTAATCGACAAAGTAGGTATTTTGTTGTGTATAGAGTGTTGGCATGTAATAAGTCGTTAATTATGAGCACTCTGATCGAGTTTGTATTTTGTGGTCTCTTTTATGTAAATTAACGTATTTTGTTTTAAATAAAGTTTTAAATTCCCGGGGTTTTTCTTTAAGAGTCAAAGTTTGAAAAGTCAAAGTGATACCTCGGACTCGTATTCGAGTCGGGTACGGGTTGGGGTACTACATTAAGAACTCGAGTCGAGCTAGAGCTCAAGTCGAATCCATTCGAATCGATTATTTATCGAGCTTTGACCGAATAAATACCAAGTAACTCGTGACATGCCTCTTCTCATTTACAACCCTAGGGATGAATAGTACAATATATCATAATTTCATGTGCACATATTAATAATAATGGTAAACTATGCCAGTAGACCCCTTTATTTTCGTTCTGATCAACTTTGATTACTGGTTTTTTAATGAAGTACGTTTGGTCCCTTACATTATCAATTCATCCGATTTAAGTCACTCGGCCGTTAACTTACTTTAACTCATTAATGTAAATCTGAGTTGACAATTAAAAAAAATAACTCACATGTCTTCTTCTTCTTCAACACCCCTACTTTTTCCTCCTCTTCTTTTCATAAAAAAAAACCATGACTTCATATTCTTCTTCTTCTTCTTCAAATCAATACCCATACTTTTTCCACGTAAAAAGTCACGTGTTTCTCCTTCTTCTTCTTCTTTCATAAACCTGCAAAAAGGGTTAATAGATAATTAAGCAGCCACCGACTTAGACGTAACTAGCTGTTACCGAAAACTTAAATAAAAAGTTGAACAAACACAGAAACTTAGATTTGGTCTCTTCTAGTTCTCAAACAGAGCAAAACTCGGGGCTAATAGCAAGACACGTACTGTAATGGAGTTTACTTGGAACACACAAAAATGGTCCAAATCTAGAAGACCAACAGTCCACATAATTCCACTCTCTCCAGCCAACCTCGTCTTTTCACAGAACAAACCAACATGCTTATGTATGCTCTTGCATCACCATCCAAATAATACCAATCTCGCTATATATAACAGATTATCCGCACCTTTCTATTACAAGTTCAATTTTCGTGTTCCTCATTACTCGTGTTTCGATGGGTTCCTTATCCGACCAGCCTCACTTCGTGTTGTTCCCCTTCATGGCTCAGTGTTCATCTTCACCACTAATGTTTCATTTGGGGCAGTTGAGTCGGGGATCATCATGGTGCAATTAATATCAAGTTTTTATGTCCTTTTAGTCTGTTGAAAAAAGAAAAAAAAAACTAGCTACCCCATATACGTCCAACTACCTCTACCTTTTGGGGAAAACCCGAGAGCTTCACGAGGGAAGTAAGCTAAAAAGGGGGGAGGGATACAATGAATATAACATAAACTATAGAACTCCAAAAGTATAAACAGGATTATAATTTGAGAAATTAATAATCAAATACGAATATGCTTCTTTCTAATTAATAGCCACACGAGAGACAAAGACGCAAAGAGATAAAGAGATGTAATTGAAGTTCGTTTTTGTTGTTAAGAAAAATTAAAGTGATATGATAAAGTAATTCACATTTATCTTGCAAAAGAGTTTGGGGAAAATATAGAATTTGGTATACCTTTAGATTTGTGGGTTTCAATGGAGTTATGGTTTTTGAAGGTCGAAAGCTTTGCACGGGTGTAGATGAGCAGCCACATCTGAATATGACAGTGAAATTAGTTCAATTTTCCTTATCCGTTTTTCTCCATCCCTTCTTTCATTACCTCCGCACACAGCCCGCATATCTATTTCCCCAAGTACTTGTTTCGCACTCGCTCGATGTACTCCGGAGTGTACTCTTTGCTCATCCCACAACACTCGCACTTGGCATCTTCGACTTCGGATATAGGCGGGAGCTGGTTCTCGTCCGTCAAGGTGGTTTCTTTGTAACTATCGAGCACTTCCTTGCTTAGTTGGAAAGTGATATCGGAAACGGTTCGGTGGAGGCTATCGTTGGATAATTTTGGTGGCTTGGGGAAGTTGTACCTCCTGGCGTAAGTGCTAGTGATAGCCTCTCCATGTGGTTCCATTTTGAAAGAGAGCCAACGCGTAGATATTGGGAAAATTCGTATGAAACTACCAAGGGATTACGATGAAGAACTAAGGATTGAAGCTGTAATGGAAATGAAAAAACTTCGGAGAAGAAGAAGAGGAAGAAGCAACAGCAGACACGTGAAATGGTTTGTGGAATTGAAATGGTCATGTGTGCATAGAGAGAGAGAGAGAGAGCTTACACGTGAAATGGTCATGTGTGGTTTAATTCTAGAGCTTCTCTCTCTTCTAATTTTGAGAGGGGGAGACTAATGAGCTGAAAACCAAATTTTTGGTTTTTATGCCCATGTGCTATGGTTAACGTCCAAGTAACTTAAATCGAATAGATTGATAATGTAAATAACTAAGCATACTTAATTAAAAATTCGGTAATTAAAATCGATCAAACGAAAAATAAAAGAGGTTACATGCATAATTTACACTAATAATAATGCGATAATACATATAAACGTAACGCTCCACTACTTAACTCATAAAATATGAATATAATGACTGTTTGGGGAAATTAGATAAACGCACATCTTCTTTTAGGGGTTTTTTATTTAAACTGAAAAATTCACGAATATTTAAATTGATCCCAAAATCAAAAGTTCAAAAGTTTTAACCTAAATTTGGATTATGACAATAAAAGAAGCACAAAAAAATTTCTTCGAATTATGATAATAAATTTCTTTTAAAGTTTGTTTCTTTTCCTTCTTTTTTCTGATTTTATCTTTTGTTTTTTTTTATTGTATCAATTTTTGTTCTGATTTTCATGTATTATTTTGACTTTGATGTTATTGTATTCCAGGTCTGAATTGTGATGCTTTTGAGCATTAATATTATGTTGTGCTTGTTTCCGTTTTTTGCTGTCCGAATTGTTCTTCAATGGGACTTGAGTATGAATGAGACATTCTTTTACTAAAAAAAAGAACATGTATAAATAATATACGCTTACATTCTAGTCAGATATCATAGGTTAAAAAAGCAGCAGCCTTTATGTACAGTATAAAATTAATCATTAATCACTGGTATCATTCTAGACCAAGACGGAAAAGTAGAAAAAACCCAGTCTCCTGTTCTGGCATTTTAATTAATTTTATATCAGTCTTTCTTTATGCCATACTTTATATATATATATATATATATATATATATATATATATATGGATCTTTGAGAAACATGTTTATCCTTTTTTCCATCTTTATAAAGCCCCTGCCTCTTTCTCTCTCTCCTATAATTCTTGTTTGAGTGGAAGGAGAGGGAAAAGCTCAAAAAGGAATACTAAGGAAAAGCATGGGGAGAACTCCTTGCTGTGACAAAGCTAACGTCAAGAAAGGCCCATGGTCACCTGAAGAAGACGCCAAGCTCAAGGCATATATCGAGCAGCATAGTACTGGTAGTAATTGGATCGCTTTGCCTCAGAAAATTGGTATTATTTTAAGATAAACAACCCATCAATCTGCTTGCTTGAATCTTCTTTCTTTTTCCAACTAAAAAATACTAATTGTTTTATGGTATCTGATTTGATGAGTTTCTAAAAGGGTTGGGTTTTTTTTTTTTACCTTAGGCCTTAAGAGATGTGGGAAAAGCTGTCGCCTCAGATGGTTAAACTATCTCCGCCCCAATATTAAGCATGGAGGGTTCTCCGAAGAAGAAGATAGGATTATTTGCAGCCTCTATATCAGTATTGGCAGCAGGTATTTTTTATCCTAAAATCCATTCTTAAAGTCAACAAAAGTGACAAACCCTATGTTTTGTTTGATTCATTTTAAGCAAACGTTGTTCATGTCTAAGAGTTTACACCTTGCATGATTGTTAATAGGTGGTCTATTATTGCTGCACAATTACCGGGGAGGACTGATAACGATATAAAGAACTATTGGAACACGAGGCTTAAGAAGAAGCTTCTCGGCAAGCAACGCCAAGAGCATCAGTCTCGTAGAGGCAACAGCTTAAAGCAAGCTCTCAAGAGATCAGCTAATGTGGGGGATTCCATGGTTCCAACTGATAACATCAACCAAAGCCCTTACTGGCCAGAGTTGCCTGTGCTAGCGGCGGAGCCGGAGGCGCCCTTACAACACTCAAGTACTCAAGAACATCAAATTGACCACCAAGCCTCGATGAGAACATTACTTATCAAGTTTGGAGGAAGATTTTCTGATGATGATCATGTGATTAACGATGGTACAACTCTTCATCAGTTTCCTAACGACTCATCCTCCACCGATCAACATCTTTATGAGCAGACTGTCTACATACCCTCTTCTTCCTCTTCTTCTCCCATGGATGCCTTGAACTTGAACAATAACATCGACGCTCAGTTTGTGAACTCTCAGTACACCATGGATGAAGCAAATCTGCACATGCAGCAAGGACAAAGCTGTACTTTTTCCTCAGAGATCCAGGAATTGGGATATAGCAACCCACAGAGATTAGATGGAATGGAGTTCTTGTATGGGGGAGATATGGTCAATAATAGAGCTGTGAATCCTTGTGAAAGCATTGGCTGGGCTGATACAAGCTCCCTGATTGGCTCTCCTTGTGCTTCAGAATACGGAGTCATACAACAAGGAATGCTTCAAGAATATGCTTTTACTGAGATGAGATACCCAGGAGGAGCACAATAGCATAGCAAACGGTGGGTGTTGAATCTAAGACGAAAAACCCTAATAATAATCTCGTTGAGTTATATATATATATATATATATCTATGCTTGCTTTCATTGTTCGTGCTTAATTAATCAATAGTGACTGTAATTTATATTTTCTTTTATACTGTGTTGTCATACTCATTAGCTTATGCCGATTGTTGAACTAGGGAATTATGAAGCGGTAATCTCTAGTTTGTGCCAGATGATTTACTGATGTGCGTGCATTTTCTATCATTGCATAACCATGTTCATATTATTACATGTCACAAATGTTCCATTGGGATGTCCAAACAAGCCGCAGCTAGCATGCTAGATTCCTTGAGAAAAATCCATTGAATGTAGCTAGGCTTTTGCTGATGAAGTAAACACACAAGTCATTCTTCCGCAGTCTCTCATTTATGCATTCCGTCTATTGGCTATGGCTAGAAATGAATGCATTCTAGCAGAAATAAATAAAATCTCCAAAGGCTAAAAGCACATGCCACCGCCCTTTAGTTAATGATTTCCGAAGGAACAATCCCTTTTCTAATCATCTACATTTTATGCTTGTTCTGCCATACATGCAAGCTCTACGAGACTTTTTTTTTCCCTTCTTCTTCTTAGATCTGATCTATGTATGCTTCTCTACTTCCACTCTTTTCTTCTTTCCGCGCTACCAACAGCCTTGCCGCCTTATGATACATATTTGATTTTATACCTAAAAGTATGAATCTAGACATAGTTTTAAAGTTCAACAGTAATATCCAGGTGTGTAATGCTGGTCTGTTGGCTCTAGTTTGAAGAAATTACAGGAAAATAATAATCATTAATGGCTGTTCAAGGAACTGATACATTTATAGAAATATTAAATTAACACCTGAAAACCAGCTTAATTCTCATGAACACGCATCCCTTTGTAAGGGCATTGGGAAACATGTCAATGCACAATAATATTCTGGGCGGTCTTGTTCCAAATAACCCATCCGCACGTGTGAAAACTGACAAGGCTCATCGATTGTATATATGGAGTGAGTAAATCCAATCAAATATCTAGCCTATCAATAGGTTAAAAGTTCAAAAATTCTGATGATTAGAAATAAATTGAAATTTAAAAAAATTGATTGAATATAACCCTTCATTATCATATTTGTAGCCAAATGAAGTGTCAGTATCCTTTTGCTTGATAGATATGGGAGTTTCAGATTAGCATTTAGCATCTACCACCGTATGTATATAACAGAAGCTTGAGCTTCCCATTTATGTAAATCTCTGGCAAAATAACAATCTCAGAGAAAAAGCTTTCACTTGTGGTAGCAGAAAGAAACAAGGGCACGTTTTATTATCATGGACTCGTGTGCGTTGATTACAGTTGTAACAAGTCGGGTGACAAAGTAATTAAATGTGAATTTTGTTTGACAAGTTTTTCTATTGTTTGGTAAAGCATGGTCCTGATATCTGTTAAAATTGGTTGACAATTTCCATAAGCCCTACCCGTTCTTTGCAAATTAAGCTTAGGTCCCATCACCTAAACCAACTTCCAAATTTACCACTTTATGAATTTCGAGCATCTCATTCAGATACATTAGCAAGTCAACCTATGACATGCTAGTTTTCAATTATCTTTTCCCTCTTCCAATTATAATTTGTGTATCCAAACCAATATAAGTTATGCTATAGAAATCTTATCCAGTTATTGTTCGAAATGTTTACAAATTCCGACACAGTGATTTTGCCGAATGCAACGATAATAAAATATCGGCAAAGGAATAGAAAGGGCCAATAATTCTGAAAAACAATTAATTATAGGCTAGCATGTATATACAAAAAAGAAGCAAATTGAAATTTAATTAGAATTATCCGTAAAGAAAGAAAGAATATCCCAGGGAGGAAGAAGCAGAAGAGAAAAGGTCCAAAGAAAGAAATCAATTAGTTTCATTAATCAAAAGCTTAAAGCAATCCTTGATTAAGTTAATCCTGGGCTGGGAGACGTTGCCCTAGCCATGACAACAACCAAACGACGACTTACTTCCCCTACTTTTTTGTATTTTAATATTACATATAAACCTTCTTTTATTAAACAACCATATTATATTAGCCTTGGGGATTTTTAAATTACAGTGACAGCGACACTCATTAACAGGAGATAAAATAATTATATTGCTCTAGGTCTTGGATGCGTACGTTAAAAGTGGGGGTGAAAAAGCAATATGGCAGCGTGCATCAAAAATCAAATGTACGTAGGTCTAAATTAATTAATTTCATTTTCGTAGCCGCCGCGAGGCTTTCATTTGGCTTGGAGATGATCATACTTCTCTCTCGCCCTTCAACTTCTGTCATTGTTTACTTTTTCATTTCCACCACAGAAGTATCGGCGTGAGAATCCAATTCAACACAAAGCTATTAATCCCAACAAAATAAGGTATATTTACTTCTTCATTTTTATTTAAATTAATACCTATTAATTGATGAGAATATAATAGCTTGTTAAGAATATAGGGATGATGAATATGATATTAGAAAAAGTCTTAAAATCTTGTGTATTAAAATATATATTTTTTATATGAATTCGAACTAAAAGAGTTATGTATACCAAAAATATAATTTTAAATTCACGTCCTCGCCACAATGTGATTGAGTCATGGATAGACTGAATAGTTGCATTCTTAAATTGCCTTATCTAAACATAACTTGGTTTCTAATGGTGAAATGGAACTTTACGGTCCCGGGTTTCACGTTGAGAGCACATGATACATTATGGAAGTTTGGATCAAATCATCCAAATTCTCATCTAGGTGAAACAATTCGAACACCAGACGTCTTCTTAGATCTTTTTTTAATATTAATTATGAGACTGTAAGTCACTGAATTAACTTATCGAGATCGGAAAAGAATGCAAATATCTAAAAGGATTCCAATATTTAACATTTTCCCTCATTTCGGTGATGCAAATTAACAAGACATTTTACTTTTCCTTTGAAACTGTTTAGTGTGTATGGAATGCATTTTGTCTCTACAAAGTCTGAGGAACATAATGGAAAGGGAAATCATTTCTAGAGCTAAAAGTGAAACTTACTTCACTTGCTAATTTACAAAAGAATCAGTTTCACTTCATGCATGCCAGGTCCTCCTCCTCTGCCCTCTATTTCTTTAATTTAATATGGCAAGGCCCTGAAAAATTGAAAGCCAAATCACTAATGGATTCAGGACGAAAGAAAACACCAAGAACTCACAACATGCATACCATGATTCAGTGGATTTTCATCTTCTTATTCTTCTTGGCGCTTTCTGTTGGGTCCGGCTCTGGAAAAATCTTCGGAAATGGTCAAGTCCTTTGTAATGTACGCTAACTGGCAATATGCTGATCGCAACTGACTGTAAAACCCTTCTTCCCTCCTTATTTGCTCATCTCGTCGATCCATCTCTATAAGAACCTGTTACAACCCACCGAAATTAAGCGGTTGGGGAGTTTTCTAGAGAAAGAGGCTGTGATATTTCTCATGCTTACCTGCGCGGGACTCCTCTTGAAAACCTGGGAAAACCTCTTCCTGCAGTACTCGTTGAAGAGAAGAGAGAAAACTACGAGAGGAATGGTGAAACCAGAAGCCATTGGTGCTTCTTTCAGGACAAAGACCGCAACCGCAATAAACTGTGTCAACACTAAAGAGAAGATTGTTGTGTTGTGGACAACGGGCCAGAACAGTCCCGCACTTTCATATTTTGTTACATATACATGGAGCAGCTGAAAACAGATGAACTTGAATTATCAATCATGCACCTGGCTCAATTGGTGTCAACAAAACTATGCTTCAACTAATTATGAATATATAAACAGAATGTTGTTGTCACCATATACTGAAAAATACATTCAACATCTACTGAATACAGAAAAGGTATTCCTATATTAAGAAACTTTGTGGGTACGAAATATTCAGTTGCAAATAACTATTATTTGATTAACTAGAATAAGTCAAAGGATATAAAATGAATGAGACAAAAACAAACCTGGTTTCGATAGACAAGGAACGCGAGAAAGAAGTAGATCAGCAAGAAGGGCAGGATTAAGGGTGCAAGGATGGCAAGAGTGAAGCCCAGGAGTCCAAACAGAAGCATTCGCGGAATTTCAGTATGGTGCGGGAAGGTATAAGCAATATTAGTTGGCTCTGTCTTACTTCTTACAATGAATTTCATGACGAAATTCCAAGCCAGACTTAAAAGTTGTATTAATTCAATGGCCAAGCTTGCCCAGCCTGACGACAGAACATAAGTCGTAAAGAAGGCAGCCTGCAGATACAACAATAGCTACAGTTAGAAGTTGAAGATTCGTATAAAGGGACAAAAAGCTACTTTTTTCCTATGTGAATGTGGTGATGAGAGAAAGGGTATTAAAGTGTATGCCATCTTTAAGACTTTTTCTGTAGGATGTTAGGTCTTAATCTGATTAAGACAACTATTATGGACTGACGGAAATTTTACCTGGTCAGGCATTTGTTTGGCAAGTTGAAAAGGCAACTCTTGAAGTTTTGAGAAAACAGACACTTGTTCGATAAAGGATCCTGAAAGAACGTTAACGAAGAAAACATTCCAGATTGTAAAGTTCAAAACTTTAATGCATGCACTTCTTTTCCTCTCACTACGCGAAACATTTCCCTCAATTTTGGATAACAGCATCATGATTGGTGGAACAGCATACATAAACGATACCAGAACCACACTTGGTAAGTAACCTGTTACCACCTTATTTATGAACGGCCTGCTCAAGATAAAAACATGATGGGTTTACAAACCAATCAAAATATTGCAGGTCATCCATAATACTTGCAATATTTCCTTCCAATGTTCACTAATATTGAAAAGAACAAATAATGATGTACTTATGAATCAAAGAAAAGGAGCTGCTACAAGTAAAAGATTTCCGTTAGTTGATTAGTTTTATTTCACCTATACTAGGTATTTTCAACCATTTCTATACGATTGGCAAAAACAAGAGTCAATAACAGCATTATATTTATGGATACAAATCTCCTTAAGGAGGTCTACATGAAACCTATGATCATAAAGGAACATAGAACGATAGAAATCACGATATAAATAGGGTCTCTTTCTGTAGTTCTTTCTATGCATTTTTTTCTTCCATGAAAGCATATAGTCCAAAATGTTGCAATTTAAATATCTTAATTTGTTGCATCAGTCATCAGCCAAGATTGTAATGTGCAATATTATCAACGTAGTAGAGACTAATAAGATAACGCTGATTTTGCAAACGAGATATGTAGAATGATACTCACATTTCTAGTAGTTTCTCAAGTCGTGGAAACCAATGTTTTAGCACATCAGGTCGAGTCAAGCCTTGTACAAAGGCAACTGGAAAACAAAACACGAACACCAAGGCCAAAGCACATAGAAGAGTTGCTATTTTATAGATCCAAACTTGTTTGTATGGTATGCCGAGGTTTGACCAATAAACATCATGTGGCTCTGGAGCTAGTTGTGTGACCCATAACATGGGATTCGATGATTGAAGGACTTGAGCAGCAACAACAGCAGCATAACGATTCTTGAAGAAAACAAATGCAGCTGGACATTCCTGTATCAAATTCCAAAATAACATAGGTTATCAAAATGCCATTGATATGATGGCAACAGAGATTGATAAGACTGAAACCACATAGGGAGAGAATCTCCATTAAGAAACCAAATAAAATTATCATCAATTCTGAAGGCAAAAACAATTTAAAATACCAAGTGTTCAGTTAATGTAAAGTCCAATGCTATATCTTCATATCCTTTCAATAGTTAGAACATAGAATTATCAGTAACGGTAAATTCTGGCCTTTATGCGAACAACAGAAAACTAGTTGCTCAATTGTAATGCTAAGTTGAACACCTATGTCAACAACAGATTAGAATGAGATTAATAACATGTAAACACACACAAAAAAAGGTAAAATGCCTTTTAGTATCAAATGAAAGAAATTCCTAAGGTGGCAAAGAGCAGATCATCATTATCCACTAAAGAGTTATTTGTTATCAAAGGAAAACATAGTTATGTACCATTTAGGCATACATACTAGAACTGCAAAATCAACATTATTAGAGTAAAGAATTCCAGGATTTTCGACCTTTTCTATTTGAGTTGGGTGCAACTCATCAATGCTGGATTGACTTCTTATGTTGTCTTCTCTAGTTTGAATCACTTTAAAGGTATGTGCAGTTCCCCCACAAAGATAACATGGCTTATCACCCCGTACATACTCTGCCTCTATGGGTCTTAGCATTCTGTACATCTTCTTGGCATCCTTCTGTAAAGACAACATTGTTAGAGAATATAAATAGAACTTGTTACAGATAATAGATATTGCGTGTAAAACAGAAAATATTTAGAGAAGAATAAGCATAGAACATGTGAAATGTCCATTAAACAAATCACTTTTTATTGTCTATAGAACAAAATGATAAAAAGGGAAAATGAGAGCAACAGTTTTTGTTTCTCGACACAACATATGAACACCAACACCATTCAATAGATGCCAAGAAAGTAACGAATAACAGCATAAATACATAAACAACGAGAGCAAATGAAAATTTTAAGATCAAAGCCTTTTCAAATTACAAAATTCAGACAAGCTTAAATCACTAATATAACTCACTCAAGATAGAAACATACCTTTAGTTTATGAACTGTACTAGGCCGATATACCATCTGGTGGCCCATATACGTATCTGAATAATAAGTCGAAAAGAAACTTTCCACCGACTTACTATATGAACGATCCTGGGACCATGGAATGCCTCGGACTAAAACTGTGAAATGACTTGGATTGGGATGAGATCCAGTAATATGTGCTAGCCTCATTTTAGTGATACTTTTATACTCCTATATAGAAGCAATAATCTTTAATTGAATGCTAGAAAAAACTTAAGAATGCATCAACACTGGAAAAACTATATAGATTATGAGGAAATCATGCATTTTGGTTTGAGCATCCTTACCAAGTAGAGTAGAACAAATGCTGCAAAGGATATGACGTACAATGCAAAACAATGCACCCAAAGCCTGAGGGGGGGGGGAATAAAAAGAAAACATTCAATATATATGGTGGATTTTGGTCAATTAGTAATAAAGCAACTGTCACATCATTATAATGGATCCAAAAAGAAAACATACTTTCTTGAACCTGGTTGTACATTTCCGATAGTAAATACATCGTATGATTCTACACTTAACTTCTTGCGCTCCACCATTTCTCTTCCATAATAATTCAGCGGCAACACCATAGAAATGCAAACAACAGTAGCAATGAGGAATATCCTAATACTGTAAAGAACGGTGGTCAGTGAATCGACAAAGCAAACCAATGATAATTTAAATATCAAAGTAGTTGGAAATTTTATGTAAGTGATTGCAAGCTTAGACTTCGTTAATTAAAATTTTCTATTGAGTGACTAAATGACCTGAAAACAACTATTCTCATGAAAACTACAGCATCAACACCACCAGCTTCTAATAGTTCTTCATCGGTTGCTTTCCAGGCACGCATGATCCATCCTGCCGAGGGCACAAATCTATGAAGACCAAAAGGATCATCGCGTTGTACGGGTTCCGAAATGAATCTCCGCGTGAAATACACACTTGCATTGCTTGGTTGTTTTCTCAGTACGGAATACAATGAAAAAAGCACACCACATATAGATATATTGATTCCGGCAGACGTTAAAAGACCACCGATGTCCATCACAATCCCCTAAATCCTTTTCACAAGCTTTAAGGATTCAAGTACTCAAGCACATGGCCATGGATTGACATCATTTCCCTCCCATTTTGCTCCAGACAGAGGAATGCATTACCGCCAAAAGGTAGTTAAGAAACAAAATTTGACTCCTAACAAAATTCCTGTAAAATTGATCTGAGATTTTTTTCATGGTTCAGGAGCTAAAATTTGATATTTAGATGTCAAACAAAAGATTCGATGAAATTTCAACTAAATAATCAGCAAACTTTAAGAAATGCAGTAATTTCATGCTATTCAATCGACCAATAATATATATATTATAAAAAATAAATATAAAATGAAAAATGCAGGAAACAACCAATCTCAGGATATTCAAACAAAATTAATCAGTTGGGATAAACGATGATAAAAGAGTATTTAATTAAAAAGAACGTACGTGAGGTCATATCTTGCCAAACAACTCTGAAAAGGTCCCCAGATGCAGAAGCGAAAAGTATTTCACTTTTTTTTCCTGGAAACCGTTGAGAGAAGGAAGAATTTCAGAGCCTCTTTATTAATGGAACGAGAAATGAAGGAGAAAAAAGATAGACCAGTTTTTCGCGAATTCAGCACGTGACCTTTTGCTGTTGTTGTTATTAAATGAGTGATTTAGCAATAAACAAGGAGAATTGCTACGTGGCAACAAGTGAGGGACACAATTCAACTGTAGCAGTACAACCTCAACCGTCTTTAATCATTCATTTTGGCTCTTTCGTGCAGATTCTATTTTCTGCGTTGCTACCTCTTTTGTTCAAGTAGAATTGCGGTCGGCGACTGATTCTTAATTTGTTGACCCTTCAGGAATATCATTTTTTTATATATAAATAAAAAAAAATCAATTAACTTTATATCAATAAAATAGTTGCATCCATTACATTCATACTTCATTATTAGTTGCATCCATTACATTCATACTTCATTACAATCTTACATAGTTACATTATTTATTTTTATTTAAACTGTCACAACACATATTTTATTTTATTTTCCAGTAATGTTCATATTGCTAGCTACACGAGTAAAAATAACACAATAACATCCATTAAATAGACATATTTACAGAGTTAAATTTTATACAATTCATATATCAAGTCTTTTGCAATATGAAAATTATCTTAATGCCTCAAAACAGTTGAATACAGCATTTATTAATTAACCTTTTGAATTCACCAATCTGATCATGCGTGTAATTGTACCATGAGAAGTTAGCCAGGTCACAAGCATCTCAGAGGAGAGGTTCTTTTCGAACACCCTTACAGGAGGAAGCATGGAGAAGGTATAATTGTCAAATGCAAGAAGAATACGATGAAGAAATGGAGAGAGTGGTAAGTTTTGGTTATGTTGGAGCATTCTCTATATCTTACTACCATATTACTTCCTAGAGGTCTTGGAACATGATTTCCGAAGTGTTAGTTTAGGTTGTTTTAAACTTTATATTTTTATAGGCAGTTATATACGCACTATGAAGGAATGATAAGCTGTAACAAATAGCATTTGATGATCACAAAAACTTGTTTCTTGGGAAATTTTTGAATCTTTAGGAGATATACCTGAACTTTCATGTGGCTATTTCCCGCCATGATTCTTGTGGAAGTTATCTATAATGATTTTTTATCTCTTTTTTGGTATAAATTGGAATATAGACCTAGACAGAATGTAAGTTGGGTGGACAGCAAGTCCTTTTTTGGATAAGCTTTGTTTCATTATCCAAGAATCAGAAAAACCTGCTACTGTTCTAACATTTACAAACACCCAAACTAATTACGTACCCAGAATTCCCCAGTCTATACAAAGTTGGGAATTTACATTATAAAATTGTTTCAGTATTAAATTAATAAGGGATTTTCCTTTCAGTTGCTTATAGCCATTGCAGCACGTATTCCCAATTTTAACAGACCTGATAATTCAACATAGCTGAAGAACACTTGCTAAACTATCCTCGAAAACGCACTTTCAAAGAACAAATAATTTCTTGTTTCTGCCATTTCCCCACATAGCTTACAGACCTCATCAAGACATCAACCTGCATACCTCTATCATTTTTTTTCTTTTAACATGGATAACCACACTCTATTAAGGCATCTTGTTTGTAGTCCTTAACATTTTATAACAATTTCGAAAGCTGGGGCACTGAATATTTAGCAAGTCACATACTGATTACCTTTTTCGTATACCATTGGGATATCAACTTGTTGTTAATTATTTTTTGTTTCTCTTTGTATGAGCGAATAAGGCGCATGCAAAGTGTGTTCAACAGGGAGAGAAATAAGTACAAAAGGAGCTATGAGATCTGGAGGGAGTATGGCCCTGGTGCTTATCATCAGCACTTCCAGCGAGATGACTGGTATTGGAAGGCTGAAGCACAATATACAGACCAAAGAACCAATTTCAGGCAATCCCAAAGAGATAATGTGAGCTATCCATTATCACATCACTACTCGGTTTTAGGTCTTGACAGGTAATGCTGCTGTAACATAGGGTTTATAAATTCCCTTCCACCCTATCATTTTCCGGATAGCCAAGAGCCCAAGAGCTCAACTGGGTTTTCAGCCATAATATTTGACATTTCTGGCCTTCCTTTTCTCCACAGGTGCAGAACACAACCATATACAGAAGATGAAATTAAGGCTTTTACATTGCTGCTTTTGTTTTGAGGTATATTATGCATTCCATTTTTAGAAACTGTCATTTTGATATGATATTATGCTTTTCTATACCGTGTAACATTTCTGGTACATCTTTATCAAAAGTTGATTTGCTATAACTTTATCCATTGTACCGGTTGTCTTAACCAGTTGATTTATAATATTCTCAATGTAGACAGATTGTTAATTTATGTTAATGTCCATCAAATAACCATCTTAATTAATTAACAAGATTTTGTCAAACTAGGAAGTCTGAAAATGTTGTGTGGATTCTTGTGTTTAAGCATAGTAATCTTAAAAATGGTTCAGTCTGTTTCATTGCACTTTTTTGCAACCATATCATATTCCAGAAGACGAAATGCTCTTGCAAAATCCTTGTTGTAAATGCTATCGTGTAAGGGTTAATTCATTGCAAAGTTTGCTGGTCTATGTTATTATCACCTATACTTGTATAGTTGGTCAGCTTTTGTATTTGTTTGCGCGTGCGTGCGTGTGTTTAATTGAGTGAAATCAATCAGTGTGAACTTAATAGAAAAACCGGGGTTATTATCGATTCTTGTCATTACTGGATTCATGTCACGCCAGTGTTGTTGTACTGAGATTACATTAACTATTTGCAGACTGCGATCAGGGCCAAAGCAAAGCAATTTCACCCAGATCAGAACCAGGATAATAAAGGTGAGATGTGATGGACAGTTATTACTACAAACTTGTAAATTTTAACAGCATTGATTTGGTTTCATTATTTGTTGTTATATTCCCTGGACCTTGTGTTATATTTCAGAAGCTGCGGAGGCCAAATTTAAAGTGTTGAAGAATCAGGAAAAGTAAACGAAAGAACACAAGAATTTTAACGAGGTTCGATAATGTGCTTACGTCCTCAGTGCCTAGGCGGCGCTAGAAATTTTATTCAATGTCCCATAGGTTTAGGTTACATCTCTATTTATAATAAAAAACCTGGTATATAATTACATAATTAACCTTTACTGGTATATTTATGAGTCATACCTATCAAATTTCCACCTTAGCGAATATCTTGACCCATGGAAACTTCAATGTGGGTTGGGTTACCTTACTTCTTTAACAACTCGAAACATTCAACAAGTCCAAGCAATGCTTGAACTTGTCTGTCGTAACTGGCTTGGTGAACATATCAACGGCATTCTCATCAGTATGTACCTTCTGAAACAAAACCTCTCCAGATGCAACCAACTCTCTGATCTTGTGGAACCTTACATCAATATGTTTAGTTCTAGCACGATACACCTGATTCTTAGCCAAGTGAATAGAACTTTGATTATCACAAAGCAACTGAACTCCACCTTGTTGAACACCCAACTCCTTCACTAAACCAGTAAGCCATAAATCTTCTTTTGCAGCTTCAGCCGCTGCCATGTATTCAGCTTCAGTTGTAGATAGTGCCACAACAGATTGAACAGTAGACTTCTAACAAATAGGCCTTGCACCAAGAGTAAACACATACTCTGTCGTAGATCTTCTATTATCCAAGTCACATGCATAGTCTGAATCCACATATCCTACAACCAAAGGGTTATCCCGCTGACTACCAAAAACAATTCCATGTCCCACAGTACCCTTTAAATACTGAAAAATCCACTTGACTGCTTCCCAATGTTGCTTACCAGGTTTAGACATGTACTTATAAACTTGACTAACAGCATGAGCTAAATCAGGACGAGTACATACCATTGCATACATCAAGCAGCCAACAACATTAGAATACGGAACCTTTGCCATATCTTGAGCTTCCTTATCTGTCTTCGGGCACTGTTCTGATGAGAGCTTAAAGTGATTCGCCAATGGAGTGCTAACTGGTTTTGCGCTGCTCATCGCAAACCTTTCTAGCATTTTCTCAACATAACCCCGTTGAGATAGCCACAGTTTCCTTGAGTCTCTTTCTCTGCAAATTTCCATTCCAAGAATTTTCTTTGCAGCACCTAAATCTTTCATATCAAATTTCTGACTCAATAAAGTTTTCAAACCAATAACACCATTCATGTTCTTCGCAGCAATCAACATATCATCAACATACAATAACAGAAAAATAAAAGAACCATCATCAAGGCTCTTAACATAGACACAACAATCATACTCACATCGGTTGTAGCCAATCTTGATCATATAGGAGTCAAACCGTTTATACCACTGTCTCGGAGACTGTTTCAACCCGTACAAAGATTTCTTCAATCTGCAAACTAAATGTTGGTTTCCAGGTTGAGTGAAACCTTCAGGCTGCCGCATGTAGATCTGCTCCTCTAAATCATCATGCAAAAAAGCAGTTTTTACATCTATCTGGTCTAAATGCAAATCCCAACTAGCCGACAATGCAAGTACTACTCGGATTGAAGTTTGCTTAACCACAAGAGAAAAAATTTCATCATAATCAACTTCTTTCTGCTGTGAAAAACCCTTTGCTACCAAGCGAGCCTTGAACTTCTCCCCCTCTTTTTCTGTTACTGCTGGTTTCTTCTTATACACCCATTTGCAACCAATCGGCTTCTTACCCTCAGGAAAGGGAACTAACTCCCATGTACGATTATGATTCAAAGACTCCATCTCCTCAACCATGGCAGCCATCCACTTGTCGTTTTCCTGACTAGTAACGGCATCATGAAAAGAAACTGGATCATCACTGCTAACAGTAAGTGCAAAAGAGACCAAGTCTTCAAAACCCAATCTGTTCGGAGGCTTTATATTCGTCCATCTCACCCTGTCTCTGGCGAGACTATAATCCTGCAAATCATCTGTAGCGGAACCACCAGAAGTCGGTTGAGAAATTTCTGTTTTCTCAACTGGAAACTGCTCAAAATCTACCAATGTCGTGTCTTTCTTCTGCTGCAACATGGACTGTTCATCAAAAACAACATCTCTACTGATCACAATTTTCTTCGTAACTGAATCCCAGAACTTGAATCCTTTGACACCTTTCTTGTAACCCAGAAAAATGCACTCCTTCGATTTTGCATCAAGTTTGGATCTCTCATCAGCAGGTACATGCACATAAGCAGGACAACCAAAAATCCGTTAGTTGGCAAAACTAACATCATGACCAGTCCATACCTCTTCTGCAACTTTCCCATCCAATGATGCCCTTGGCGATCTGTTGATAAGATAACACGCCATGTTAACAGCCTCAGCCCATAAGTGTTTGGAAAGCCCCGCATTCAACCGCAAACATCTAGCTCTTTCATTCAACGACATGTTCATTCATTCAACAACACCATTCTGTTGTGGTGTCTTGCGCACTGTAAAATGTCTCTTAATCCCATGCTCCTTACAGAACTGTAGAAACTGTGAATCTGTGTACTCCGTACCATTGTCAGACGTCAAACACTTGATTTTTCGTCCTATTTGGTTTTCTACCTCAGCTTTCCACAGCTTGAACTTCTCAAAAACACCAGACTTATGTTTCAAAAAATACACCCAAACTTTCCGTGAAAAATCGTCAATAAAGGTAACATTATACCTAGATCCACCCAAAGACGATGTCGTAGAAGGCCCCCATACATCTGAATGCACATAATCAAGAATACCTTCAGTTGTGTGCTTCGCAGTCTTGAAACGAACTTTAGTCTGTTTACCAAGAACATAATACTTGCAAAAGTCGAGCTTACAACTTTTAACACCATGCAACAGATTTCTTTTATGTAATTCAGTCATACCACGTTCACTAAGATGAGCAAGACGCATATGCCACAGTTTGGTTGTATCATCACAGGACTCAACAGAATGAACTCCACCTACAACGGTACTCCCTAACAATTTGTAAATATTCCCTACAGTCATCTTTCCTTTCATCACAGTCAAAGCTCCTTTAACAATCTGAATGGTTTCTCTATCTTCATCAGCCTTAGGGATAAAACCATTATTGTGCAAAGTGCCCAAAGAAATCAAATTCTTCTTCAAATCTGGGATATGCCGAACACCACTCAATGTCCGAACAGAGCCGTCATATATCTTAATTCTGACATCACCAATACCAACAATATTGCAACATCGATCATCACCCAAATAAACAGAACTAGAATTAATCGACCTGTATGTCGAAAACCATTCCCTATTTGGTGTGATGTGATAAGAACATCCAGAATCAAGAATCCACGCATCCGTCAATTGAGTCGTTGAAATAGAAAGCATATCACCCTCACTGCAATCAGAATTGTCATCCTTGACCACGTTCACAAACTTGGATGAAACATCACGCTTCTCATTAGTATGCTTTTTCAACTTCGGACAGTCTCGCTTCATATGTCCCGCCTCCTTGCATTTGTAACAGTGAATTGTCTTCTTATCCCTAGATTTGGATCTGGAATTCCGCTTGCCAGACCCTGCCTTCTCTGGCTTCCGTCCACGGTCTCGATTACCCTTGACATATAAGCTATCGGCTTGAGAGCTTTCCCCTGCATTCTGCTTCCGCTGGTTGTGAGCCAACAATGCTGCAGTAATCTCCTCAACGTTGATAGTCTCTTTCCCATATGTAAGAGTAGTCACCATGTGTTCGTAAGAGGGAGGCAACGAACACAACAGAATCATCGCTCTGTTTTCATCCTCAATTTTCACATCAAACCGAGCCAAATCAAAAACGATTTAATTGAAGACATTCACGTGTTGTGCCAAATCATGATCGTCCTGCATCTTCAGCCCATACAGCCGCTGCTTTAGATATAGTTTTGTCGTTAAGGATTTGGACACAAACTGACTTTCCAACTTCCTCCAGATTTCGTCTAGAGACGATAGATGCATGACGTGATACATGACCTCGTCCGCCAAGCATAATCGTATGGTTCCTGCCGCTCGTTGTTGTAATTCTTCCCAATCTTCCTCCTCCATCGACGCCGGCTTTGTAGGTCGCAAAGCCTTCAAGATCCCCTGCTGTGCCAACAGATCCTTCACCCTCGTTTTCCATAATCCGAAGTTACCCTGACCATCGAATTTCGCAACTTCGAATTTTGCTCCTGACATCTGATACCAATTGTTGAAGAATCGGGAAAAGTAAATGAAAGAACACAAGAATTTTAATGAGGTTCGGCAATGTGCTTACGTCCTCGGTGCCTAGGCGGCGCTAGAAATTTTATTCAATGTCCCATAGGTTTAGGTTACATCTCTATTTATAATAAAAAATCTGGTACATAATTACATAATTAACCTTGTACCGTACCTAAATCCCCTGTCCTCTTTACTGGTATATTTATAAGTCATACCTATCATAAAGAGATAATGACCTCCTACGAGGCTATAAAGCAAGAAAGGAAGAACGTGATGAGGGTATAAATAAATAACTTATTTCTCTAGGGGTGTTGAGAAATGAAGTTCAGGAATAGGGGATGTGAAATATTCAAAACCCGACACTTGTATACAAAGATTTCACATTCATCGGTCATCACTGCCGATCAAATTTTTCCTTTTTTTGTCAACCGAGGTTGTATTTGTTGTAGGCATTTAGTAAGAGATGAATAATTTGATTGAAAGACACAAAATGTATACGAAGTTAATCTCAAAGTTCTTTAAGAAATAGCTATGTATTCTCATTAAAGTGCTTTGTCCTTGTTATGGTCTTCTTGTTTATGTGCCAAGTTTTCGTTTCTCGATTGAAAGCTCTTCAAATAACACACGGTTAAGGAAATGAAAACGCTTCTAATTAGAAGGTAGTGAAATGAGGCTGTACCTGAAAAATGGATTTGACAGGTTCAGAAATCAAACCAAAATCACAATTGAACTCGAAATGAGTCAAGTTTAAGTTGAACTACGATTAAAAACGTAAAACCTTGAAAAAAATAAAATGCTTATTTAATTTTCCGTCCCTTAATTCC